ATGATGATGATGATGATGATGATGATGATGATGATAATAATGATAAAAAACCCTGTACTCTGTTCCATCCTTCACTCAAAGCAAAAACGCTTTATTGGTTATGTATTTTGAACTGAACTTGTTCAACTCTCTTACCTTTGCACTAGATAGGAGTAGTTTCGAAAGCCAGCACAACTGGTAGGTTTCCTGGTGAAAAATTACACCAATCATATAGTACAGCCTCAGTGATGTCTATGAAGAGCAGAATTGTGAGAAATAACATATCCTATAATGTGGCAAATGCAGCCCTACTCACCCCCGGGGAATAATATGTCGGCGAAGTGGACATCCGATAGTTACATTTGTTTCCTGTAAGTATATTGAAAAAAAATTATAAATTGATATACAAAGCTCAAGAAAACTTTTAACATTTAGCTTGTAATAAATTCTCCGAACACACTACCCAGTAAGCTATTCACCCTGTTGGAGAGAGACAGCAAACAAAATGGCTGTGACATTTTAGGACACACAGAACAAATAGTAGAGAGGATCAGTTTCAGACCCACCCAACAAGACCTTTGTGGAAATCGGTAGCTCACCAGATCCAGATTTCCAACCCCACCTATTAAGTCTAATGAAGTTAAGCTTTCAGTGTTTCTCCCGAATTTACAATCTTTTAAACATGAAAAGGTCAGGAATGCTCATCATCTTGCTTGGGGGTGTAAATCACACTTAGTGTGTTCAGGATCAAACACCACTAATTTTAGCTGTCGAAGTATCTTTTAGGTTGCACTCAAAGAAATAATGTGCAGTTCCAGAGAATATCCATACCTCCCCCATCAAAGGGATTTTTTTCCAAGCCCCCCTCCCCTCCCCTCCCCTCTGGAAATTTCAATTAAACTTGATACATTTCTTTAAATATTTTGGTCCTAGAGAACCCCCCACCCCCCNGGGGGGGAGTATAGATATTTTCTGGTGCTGCACAATAATAAAAAACGCTCTCATGTCTGTTTTTAGGTTTGATTTTTGCCACTCATCTGCTGGTCAAATTAAACCTGAGCCATGCCCAAATTGGTCTCGTTTAGAGGCTTAATTCAAATTTTCAAATGAGCATCCCCAATTTTTTCACATGGGGGTCTCCCCCCACCGGGCTTCCCTGTTACAGTGCTACTTACAGCTTTTAATGTGATACAAGACTGATCTTCAGAAAACGCCTCAATCCTAAACACAACATCCCTAAAAGAACCACAATATTGCTATGTTAACTGATCTGGAATGGCTCAAAAATTGATTTTACACTGCTAAAATCTATGATTGGTTTAACCAACTCAAACAATCAGAGATGGAACAAAAAACAGTTGTGACATTGCCACGGCACAACCTCAGGCTTGGTGGTGGTTAATTTGTGTTTGCTCTAAGTTTTAGGAGCTTTTATTGCTTTATTGTTTTGTTTATCAGTTCATTGTGATTGAGATATAATAGGCCATTTCCAAGTTACCATTTGCCTCTGTGCCAAAACGAGTCTTCCTATGAAACCAATCATATGAAAATGTATTCCACCTACATGTTAATTTTCATGCAAATCAAACTCATTTTCACATGAAAGGTTTTGCATGAAGACTTATTTTGAAACACAGGCACTATTGCTTTCAGAAATCACTTTTACAACAATAAAGCGAAAACATGTTATCCACAGTCATCAATAACTAAATTTGTTGTTTTAAAAAGAATGTTACCTAGAGTAGTTGTAACCCTGGTTTCTTCTTTGTTTATCCTTTTCTCCAATGGAAACTGTCTTATTAAAGCAAAATACAACAGAAAGTTTAAACAATGGCAGTGAGGTAAGACTTCACACATTTGACCTGTGGAGTCCCTATTCTATATAAATAAACTTCTCCTGAGCTATTAAACCAGATACCTGAATTACAAATACCAAAACAAATTGGCCATTGTCTAGCAATACTTACAACATTTCTGGATATAACTCCTATAGCTTGCCGTTCTGCAGATATTTCTGAGCTTGTTAAATTAAATGTCAAGTGCTCTGTATTTGAGAGGCTTCCCTGGAATAAATACTAAAATATGTCAAAACTCTGATTTCACATAAACCATTTAGCAACTGACTGAAAGACTGATTTTTGAGCGGCATTTACACTAGATTATAAAAAGTGAGATTCCCTTTCTTTTTTTCTTTTGCTTCATCAGTCACACAAAGAAAAAAAATCTGTCTACAAGTTAATCTTGCCAACAATTGAGTACATCTCTCAGAATCGTTCTTTAGTAAGACAAACCAACAAGCCTATTTTTAGATCATTGCAAGTTCAGATTGGAAAACGCGCTTTGCTGCTTTGCTAGTTCTTTCCAGTTTCTCATTAAGCAAGAATATTATAATCGTGTTTCTACATCTTTGGATTCTCTGTAAGTAAAATATTACTCACAATCATTCGATTATCTCCCCAAGGTTCAGGAATGAGTTTAGCCCATGCCTGCAATGGAAAGAAAACGGCAAAGGAACAGATAATGTCCACAAGCTTCGCAGGCCATCAAGGTTTCAGCATTATGCCTGTACACGAGCGCAACTTGCTTCCCGATATTCAGTGTTCCAAGTTAAATGTTTGCAGAAATTCAATCGACGTAAATGAGATTCCCTACCTCCAGTTTTTCTCCCTTGTCTAGGAAGTACCTTGACTTGAGGTTGTGGAGCAAAACTTCGTGCTAAAATAAACACACATGTCAGCTGACTGAGCATGCAATGTTGATTGTCGTAAACATTTCATGGAGTGTCGATGACAAGTTAATTTCAGATTACCCACATAAACGGTTTCATTATAATCAAGAATGTGTTCCACATATTCCACTGACCTTTGGACATATTCCCCATACCGGATGAAGATTTAACAGAATGAGAACAAAACTCAACAGAGTGGAAGGGTGTCTCAGAGCTGACATGTTGTCGACGCGACAAGGGGATTATCAGGAAGTCCAGGTTAGGGGAGGGGAGGGGAGGTTGTTGACGCTTAGTACCTCGCTAAGACCTTCACACGACTATGGGCTACTACTACTGTAGTGGTAAAAATGCTAAGGTGCCTGAAAGTCTATCCCTGAGGTTGTGGATTTGCCCTGGTGTTGGGTGTGGCTTATGGGTCGGAATGACCTGGAGGGGTAACAGGAAAGGAATGGCATTCTTGAAATGTGACCAAGTAGCAGTAGGCACGTTTTGTACCCAAATGTTTCAGTATTAGAAATT